AAGATGGCGGGTGATCTGGTTGTGTTCTCCCTCCATTTTCCTGTCTGACCCCTGACACTTCAACTCCCTTGTCTCCTGAAATCTTCAGCAGCCAATGGACAGGGTAGGGTGGCAAAAAAAGACGGCCAAGTGTGACAGTCAGTGTCAATGTGGCATCAGGAAATGGGAATTCGACTCACATCCGACTGGAATCTTTCTCCAGATGTTCCTGAGGAAATGCTGGCTCTGCCCTGGTTCAGCCTGTGCCTGTTAGCTTCATATTACTGACAGAATCTTGCCCGTCTCAGACAGTTTCTGCTAAATTCAGGAGCACTGTTTCCCTTCCTTTACTTTCAGCTTTTTGATGGGTGAATGAGGAAGGGGGTAGTCAGTGACCATTCCTATTTTCTCTCCCTCTTATCCCTACTATCCATCTTTGGTCTTTCTATTACTTAAAACTCCATGTACCCTCCACTCTGTTTCCCTTCCCTCCATGTACTCCTTCCCTCCCTTTGAACTCCTCCCTCTCTATTCCTTTCCCCAAACTTCTTTTGTCTTTCAGTGCCCCTCATTCTCCCATTATTTCCTTCCCTCTCTGTGATTGCCATTGCCCTCAATGTTTTACTAACAAATGCTGTCTTGCTGGGACTTTAATGGTTGACCATCCCATTGGTCTAAGTGGGTGGAGGACAATCTCGTTTCAGATCCTCACAATGTATTCCACACACCCTGGCTCCTCTCCCTCCCTTCCCCAACCAGCTCCGTCTTCAACGTTGCTTTTCCAGAACCTTCAATAGGCTCAGAAACTGTGACACACACACCCTGAGCCTGATTGGTGAGGCCTTACGATCTCCTGGGATCAATCCTTGGAATCTGATTGGGATCCAGTCAATGAGGGAGAAAGAGGAACACCAGATTGGGTGAGGACACACATTGGTGAAGCAGCTCATTGGCTTCACTGTGAGGCTCAGGAATGTTGGACCTGGCTGGGGCACTGGGCCAGTGGTTCCAGGATGTAGGGTGGATCGGGAGTCAGAGGAGGGGGATGTTGTGGAATAAAGAAGAGCTTCTTTGTTACAGGGTAACTTCACAACTGGCTTTCCCTGAGCACAGCAAATGCACTTGCTCCCTGAGTCCATAAGTGATGTCTTAAACCAGCTGTTTGTGCCCAATGTCTGTCACAGCCTGTTTAAAGATGGATCAGGTACTCCTTACACTGTGTGGTGGGCAGTGCACATTACGGGGACATTTTGGATTTTTCCAGTTTGTGGTGCAGGGCTAGATGTACTAGCAGCTTTCCTTTCTCTGTGCTGAGTCCAGGCTCTGTCTAGTAAAGAGTTGTAGAAGAGAGACAACCAGAAAGTCTAAACAAGAAGAGGTATTTGGCTCACATTTGCTTGATGGGATGGGCATATACTATTGTCTCACTAACAGAGACCTAAGCACCTAAGGAAGGTGGGCAAGGGTCAAAATGTCAAGGTTCCCACTTTGTACAGTGTCCATGTCGGGACTTAATGGGTGATTAATCCTCAATCCATGCTAATATTCTCCTCCAAAACTGTGTTCTCCTGTCTTGGGCAATAACGTTTTTTTTTGTGGTTTATCATCGATTGCTTCTGAAAGTCCAAATACACTGCACCTACTGGTTCCCTTTTATCAACTCTGCTTGTTATATCCTCAAACAACTCCAGCATATTTGTCAAAAATCATTTGCCTTTAACAAAACCATGTTAAGTCTGCTTGACTCCATTAGGACGTTTGAAATGTCCTGCGATTTCTTCTTTAATTATGGACTCTAACATTTTCCCAATGACAGCTGTAAGGTTAATGATGGCAGATTTCCATCCCCAAAGGAAGGTAAGGACTCAAATTAATTTTTAGCACAATCTAGCAGTTTTCAGGATCATTATTAACAAGACTTTATTCCACAAGTTGGCTACAGTGGATTTTGGATATCTGTGCCCAGAGTAAAGATCTGATCTATACCTCTGGGTGAATAGTACAGCAATCTAACCATGAGGCCAAAATACAGCAAAGAACTACAGAATGCTGGAGATCTTACACAATAACAGAAAGTGCTGGAGAAAAGTGGTGGGTTTTTCTCTGGAACCACTGCAGTGCTTGTGCAGTAGGATGACCTACAATGCCATTAGAGTGGGAATTGTAGGATTTTGACCCAGCGACATTGAAGGAACAGCGATATAATTCCAAGTCAGGATGTTGAGTGGCTTAGAGGGGAACTTGTAGGTGGTGGTACTCTCATATATCCGCTGCCCTTGTGATCATGGATTTGGAGATGATCATGTGATCATATTGAACGGCAGAGAAAGCTTGAGGGGCTGAATGGCCCCTACTTCTGCTCCAAGTTCTTTTGGTCTTAAGGGCCTCAATAGGCCCAAGGGTGGATGGGCTCCCTGACACTTTCCCCTCCCACTGCAACTTTGGGATAGGTCAAGAGTGAGAGTTAAGAACCACTGTGTTTCGTGGCCCATCGCCTTTTAATGGGAGGCAATTGCCTCATGGTATTATCGATAGGCTGTTAATCCAGAGAACCCAAGAACATTCTGGGGACCCGGGTTCAAATCCTGCTATGGCAGATGGTGGAATTTGAATTCTATAAATATCTGGAATTAAGAATCTTAATGGTGACCATGAATCCATTGTCAATAGTCAGGAAAACCCATCTGGTTCGCTAACGTCCTTTAGGGAAGGAAACTGCCATCCTTACCTGGTCTGGCCGACATGTGACTCCAGACCCACAGCAATGTGGCTGACTCTTAACTGCCCTCTGGGCAATAAGGAATGGGAAATAAATGCAGCCTGGACAGTGACACCCTCATCCTGTGAACGGATAAAGAAAATACACTTGGATTGGAGAGTGTGAAGTTTGTAAAATGAATTCCCTAAAAAAGAGGCACATTTGAAATAATTGGATATTTTAACAGGTTAACGTGCACACAGAATGTTCCAAATGCATTCAGATAAAAAGTGGTGAAGATGCTAACTTGAGGGGACACTGACATTGTTTCCCCAAAGCCTGACCAAGAAAACTGTCAGCTCCATGTTCAATCAGAGGAGGGGCTGATTCAGGGTCGTTGAGTGACTTCCCTTTGACCTGTGTTTTTTAATCTGTCCTTGAGTTTGTTGATAAAAACCAAAAGAACTGCGGATGCTGTAAATCAGAAACAAAAGCAAACTTGCTGGAAAAGCTCAGCAGGTCTGGCAGCATCTGTGAAGGAAAAACCAGAGTTAACGTTTCGGGTCCAGTGACCCTTCCTCAGAACTGAGATGGTTGATGTTGGTCTGATCAAACCTGCCTCATTGCAGTTAAATAAATTACACACAGCATTTGGAGACAGTTTAAAATAAAGTCAATCTAAAATATTCTTTATGTGGCAAACAGAGCGATTCATATCCAATCTGAACATTAATCATTTATAAAAAAATACAATTGTTATTTTCGATGAAAAGCACAAACAAGGGGCCGGAAATTAGACAGTTACAGACACAGGACAGTGCACACAGACCATAGGACTGTTCAGTTGCAGAGAATTTGAGAAAATATCACCAATTGCAGTGTTGTCCACATTATCTACAACACCAATTCATTTGAAATTGTTTCTGGTTTTCTATTTTTTCCATTGCAATGAGAAAGTATCACTCTGAGACAGTGTTTGCAATATTTCTCAGCGATGTTCGCAAGATGGCTTAAGCAAACATTTAACCCACTGAAACTCCTAAGTCCAGTACACCAGCTCTCATCTCATCTCCAGCTAATCCTCAAATTAATCTAGGGAATTGGAAGGACATTGCAGCTGTCGATCAACAGCAGTATCTGTCCTAACATCACTCTCTGCCATTTGAATCTTTACCCTCTCTTTCTTAGCAAGGATTCCTATAAGCATTCAAAATCAGAGTAGGAACAAACCATTCTGCCCATCAAATCTGCTCCTTTCCCTTTAATACAATCATGTTTTATCTTCTGCCTAATCTCCGCTTTCCCACCTGATCCCAGAGATGGTGGAGTAGTGGTATTGTGATTAAATTAACGATCGAGTGGCCCAGGCTCATGCTCTGGGTCACTGGGTCAAACTCCACTGTGCTAACTAGTACTGTTTACATTCAATTAATTGAATCTGAGGTTTGAGAGTCTCAGTGATGGACACCATGAGAACTGTCACCAATTGTTGTAAAAACCTTTCTGGGGTTCACTGATGCCCTTTAGGGAAGGAAATCTGTCATCCTTACCTCGTCTAATTGACAAGTGACTCCAGAGCCACAACAATCTGACTGATTTACAACTACCCTCTGAAATGACATGGCATGTTACTCATTTCAAGTGCAGTTAGGGACAAGCAACAAATGCTAGCCTTGCCAGTGATGCCTACATCACATTTGAAAATAACTATTTTATAAATCTTAACTTCCCTGAGAGACTAAAAATCTGTTGATCTCTGTGGAGAATATGCTCAAGTCCAGAGCACCCATGGATCTCTGGAGTCCCAAATCCAAAAGATGTGCCTGGATCAGGCAATGTCTCCTCATCTCTATCCAAAATAATCAACCCCTTATCCTGAGAATGTGTACCCCTGTCCCACCCCATCCTGCAGCCAGGGGGGAAAACTGCATTGCAGTGTCTACTCTGTGAAGGAACAACATTATCTGAGATGCTCCATCAGATTACTTTTCATTCTTCCACACTCCAAGGAGTACAAATGCATTCTACTCAATTTCATTTCAAAGGCCAACTCTGCCTACTGCACTCACCCCCACTCCCCATGTTCCTCCATGCTCCTCCATGCTCCCCCACCCCTCTCACAACCCACCCCAGTCCTTGTTTCACCCTCTCTAAGCTAAGCTTGGATATGGAGATAAACAATGCAGTACTCCTTTGCGTATCTGATCTAGTCACATACTCCAGTTTGTTGAGAACATTAGAATTGCAAAAAATGAAACTAAAATAATGAAGCTGCTTAATAATTTCAGGAGACATACAGTGTATGACATTATGTATTCCTAAAATATACTATTTTACAAATTAGGAATAAAAGGTGTGAATTTTGCGTTCGGCGCTGAGAGAGGTGAGTGGGTAAAGATTGCAGATCATGACCACTCATCCACTCTATTGAGCTCAATCTTCAGCATACCTCAAAAGGTTAAAACCATCTCACAAACACATGAAAAGAATCATTCCTGCTTTGCCTGAGCATTCATCCCATTTCACTCTTCCCTCTGTTCATTCTAAGTATTTTTATTTTGATTTGTCACTATTTCTCAGTTAGCTGTCCTGCTTTAAGCATTTGAATAAAAATAAAATCCCTGTCATTCCAAAAAGCCTTGAATAAATTTTCAATTTGTTAAAATCTCTGCTCCAAAGTGCCTTTCATTTTGTTCGATGCAGTTACATGAGACACTGAAATGGCTGACAGTCAGTCTTCTCAAATCAGCTCATTGCTTCCCTGTTAATGAGCAATGATGAAGACTAGTCCAATGGAACCTTCCATGGGAAAGCATGTGAATGAGGTTCAGGAGTCCAGAATTCTGGTGTTCTTGGCCACCAGGGCAGTTTCATTTTGTCAAGTTTAACAAGAGAGAATCTCCTGCTAAGTTTGTTAAACAGGAGGCCTCTTTGGCTTCTACTCGGCTCACTATCCTAAGAGACGATGCTGTTAGTGGGCTCAGGGAGTGACCAGATTCCCAGGCTTTCCAAGGGACTATCCTGGTTTCTCTAAAGTCTTATGGGTTCCCGACAATTTCCGGGAAATAGTTAAAATAACTCAGTTCTCACCTCTCCTTAGTTAAGAGTGTAAACCAGGACTTCAGAAAAAGTCAGTCTGACATGTTTGTTTCTCTCCAAGGAAACCCTTATTACTTCACATTGCACTGTACACAGCAAACCCTGTATCCCCCCCTGCCAATACTCAGCCTCTCTCCCTACTCCTCACCTAACCCCTGCCAGAGAAAGAGAAAACAGGAGTGGGAGTAGGCCATTCAGCCCTTCAAGCCTATTTTACCATTCAATATGATGATGGCTAATCATCTAACTCACAACCCTGTTCTTGCTTTCCCTGCCCCCATGCCTTTTGATCCCTTTAGCCCTAAGAATTATGTCTAACTCCATCTTGAAAATAGTTAATGTTTTAGCTTCAAAAACTTTCTGCGGCAGAGAATTCCACAGGCTCACCACTCTCTGGTGAAAACATTTCCCCTCATCTCAGTCCTAAATGGCCTACCCCATTTCCTTAGACAGTAACCCCTGCTTCTGGACTCCAAAGGAACTGTCTTTAGTACTTTGTGGATGACACTGTAGAAACAAAGTTAGGAGAAGGTCACCAACCCCGGCTGAAGATATTCCAGAAAGTGTCATCACATGACTATGTCCCCCAGTTCCCCACCCAACCCAATTTCGATGCCTAAACTTGAGATTCTTTGCACTGTTCACCCAATGTGGTAACGATCAGCAATGCCCAACTTTCCCATGCCTGTTAAACTCACCCTGGTTTCTCGTTATTAAAAATCTGGTCACCTCATGGACTCACTACCCAGAGACTTCAATCTGCCAGGAAGATGCACCTTGCAAATTCTGGAATAATTGTCAAGCAGAAATATCAATAAGTAATTGTGATGATTGATTGTCCTTCGTCCTGCTGGTTTGGGAGTTAATGGCAGCAAAGACTGCTCTTCATCACTTGCTGAAGAACTGATTACTCGTCACTATGTATATTTGATGGCAGCATACTCGGTTGACTCCTCAGTGATCACTGTAGCTGGCCATTCGGTTTTCTTTCGGAAGAACTGGATATCAGCATAATACAACTCCCCTTCCTCCAACTGAAACACAATGAAAGACACAGGATTTTTACAACAGCCAGTAACAAACCCCTCCTGCACCTAACCTCCCCACATACTACACCACAGAGCAAACTCTTCAACCCCTCACCAGGGAAAAAGTCTGGATCTGACCTCATGGATGTAGAAGTCCCTTCAGTCTTTCTGCTAAAGGTGCAGGTTGTTTGAGCAGCTCTAGGAACTTCTGATTCATGAACCCACAGCCCTTCCTCCTGGCAGAAGTAGTGTCAGCTGGGGCATTGGTCGGGAAGGGCAGTTCAAATTGTCGTTTGGCAGGTACAGAACCCGTGTATTGCTAATTAGAGACTCATTTTGTCCAACTTTCTCATCCAGGACATTTCACAAGATTAGAAATCTGGGGGGAGCCAATATTGACTCTACATGAGAGGAGAGTGTGGATTGATTGGTACCTGGACTCTGATTGTTAGAAGGGCTGCCACAGAGAATGCACCCATCAGTATTGATTGACAGTTAACTGCCAGGCTTTGTTAAATTTTAAACCAATCAGGTTGAAGCAGATTGGTCAATGAATCAGCAAATAGATATCATGTACCTTGTTAGTTTGTATCAGGTACAGAGTATGGACATCCTTTTGGCTTCAAAAGAATGGGGTCCCGTCTATCAATATGTGCAGCTTTCTGTACATGCAAGTACAGCATGCTGCAGGCCTGGTGAATACTCCTAAACTGGTTGTTAGTGAAATTCCTCACACATTCTGGATTATCCAGCAAGTGCTGTCTAACATGAACATTAACATCCACTATTAGACAAGATTCTGCAATGTGGAGACTCGGGAGAGCTTTCAGCTCAATGAGACTCATAGATGTCTTGCCCAAACACTGTTAAGTGGCACCAGCTGGAGGGTAAACTGAGGACAAGAATAAACTGAGGGTGAGGGCACAGGAGGTTCCAGTCAGGGAGCTCAAGCAAGTAGGAAATCAGAATTGGGATAGTGAGGCGATCGTTGCAGGGAGACAGGGAAGTGAAGGATTTCAGATTTTTTCATCCCCTAGTCAATTTTTCAGATCACAAGACGTAGGAGCAGAAGTATGCTATTCAGCCCATCAAATCTGTTCTGCCATTCAATGAGATTATTGTTGATTTAATAATCCTGCTTTTTCCCTCATAATCCTTGATTCCCTTACTGATTAAAAATCACTTATATAGTTTAAATATCAGCTTTCTAAGCCAAAGACAGTACAAATCAACTTCTACAGCCTAACCTCATAGTGAACCCTCTAAGTTGTGAGAAAACACACTTCAACTGGATTCACAACTTCTAAAGAGTTATCACCTAAGCAACTAAGACATTGGCTGCAATTTGTGACTGAAGTTAAATATAAACCATTTTACAGAAACAAAAACACTTCTACCAAAACCTAGTATGGGCCTCGGTGCTCATTTGTTACACACACAGCTCACCACCACTTTCCCATGCACAGTTTTAGAACATAGAACGTAGAACATACAGCACAGTACAGGTCCTTTGGCCCACAATGTTGTGCCAACCTGTTATCCTACTAAGATCAATCTACCCTGCATACGCTTCATTTTACTATCCTCCATGTGCCTATCCAAGAGTCGCTTAAAAGTCTCTAAAGTATCTGACTCCACTACCACTGCCGGCAGTGCATTCCACACGCCCACCACTCTCTGTGTGAAGACCCTACCTCTGACATCTCCCCTATACCTTCCTCCAATCACCTTAAAACTATGCCCCCTCGTAATAGTCATTTCTGCCCTGGGAAAAAGTCTCTGACTATCCACTCTATCTATACTTCTCATCATCTTGTACACCTCTATCAAGTCACTTCTCATCCTTCTTCGCTCCAATGAGAAAAGCCCTAGCTCCCTCAACCTTTCCTCATAAGACCGGCCCTCCAGTCCAGGCAGCATCCTGGTAAATCTTCTCTGCATCCTCTCTAAAGCTTCACACATCTTTCCAATAATGAGGTGACCAGAACTGGACACAATATTCCAAGTTTTGGTAATGGGTAGTAAACACTGAGCTAACTGGTGATGCCTTCTTCATGTGAAGGAATAAAGAAAAACCATCGATAAGGGAAACACTTCGAAACCCTCCCAATAAGCTGTCCAATAAGGGAGAACCAAACAACACAGAAGAGGCCAGGGCTGGAGGAGGCAGTGAATTTAACAAACCCTGGAGGAAGTCGTCTCAGAGATAAGGGAGATTGGAACAGGGAGAATTCAGAGACCTCGCTCTATTGTACAAGAATGAGAGGGCGTAGTTTTAAAGTGATTTGCAAGTGAAGCAAGAGTGATGTGAGAAAAAAACTTTTTCACACAACGCATGGTCAGGGTCTGGAATGCACTGTCTGGAGATGTGGTAGAGGTAGGTTCAATTGAGGTATTTAGAGGGGCATTGAATGATTATTTGGGATAATATGGAAGGGTATGGATAGAAAACTGATTGGCACTCAGTAACAATGCTTGTTTGAAGAGCTGTTGCAAGCTCAATGGGCCAAATGGCTCCCTCTGCATTGTAACAATTCTGTGATACTATGATTAATGCTTCTTTCCAAGCTGTCACAGGTTAAATAGTGACTCAGTGTGATTATGGGAACACATGCAGAGACTGTTTCCCACTAAGAGTGACTCGCTCACAACAGCATTGCTAACATCTAATCGAATGAAGTCAAACCAGACATGATTACAAAGAGAGAATGGTCGACATATCACGATGATAATAGTAAAAGGCTTGTGTTCAATACTTACTGGAGGAGGGGACACAGTCGTTTGTTTATACTCCACTTCAGCTGAAACAAGATAAGAATTGCTGAGTTTATTATCGCTGTCATTTCTGACTGATAATGACAGGAAAACAGGATTGTGGACAAAAATATTAAGTTAGAATGAATCTCTGATGACTAGCTGTGTATTCAGATGGTCAGTGCTGAGGGAGAGCCGCACTATCGGAGGGTCAGTGCTGAGGGAGAGCCGCACTATCGGAGGGTCAGTGCTGAGGGAGAGCCGCACTGTTGGATAGTCACTTGAGAGGGAATGGTCTTCTCCTGCTCCTATGTTCTAGTTTTGCGTTGTCCCTCATCCTTGTCTCTCTGATGTCTTTGCACAGATGATGAGTGGTTGAAAATAACATGAGTACAAAAGTCATCCGATAATGTTTCATAATTAGTGTTAAACAACAAATACCATTTGGAATGGTCATCAGTGTGGATATTGAATTAATTGCCTTACCACTGACTGTTGCATACACCGTGTTAAGCTCTTCTTCAGAGGTCCTGTTTGAAATGGTGCAGAAACATAAAGTCAGTGATTTAATATTGGGACTTCAGAAGTAGGAAAGAACATCAAAGTGATGGAGAATGCCTCTTATTCTGTCTAATAAACCATGCACATGTTGGAAGGGGCCAACTGGTGTCCATTTCTCCCTTGCCCATCATGACAGGTTTAGGTTAAAGAAACTGAAGCTATTCCCATTGGCTGATGGGACAGGGACTGGCAGAAACAGATTGAAGGATTTGGATGAGAAAGGGAGGGCGAATGTGAGGAAAATCTCTAACTAAACATGTAAATGACCCAGACATTGGTGCCTGAGAGGAAGGTGATAAAGGAGAGAACGAATGATTTCATAAAGAAATTGGACAGGCACTTGAGGAAAATGATCTTGCAAGATTATGGGATGGAGTAGGGAGTTACATTGACCTAGATTGATCCACAGCGAGCTAGTGAAGGCTTGATGGGATGAATGGCCCCCTTATTTGCAATAAATGACCCGAGAACTGAAGGATGCATCTGAGATTGACCAACTATTTCCTTCAGATAAAGCAGAATTTCATGTTAGCAGCTAAGAGCCCAGGAATTTCTGAAAGTTGAGTCAGTTTTGTTCAGGCTGTGTCTTGTGGACACGGTCAGGAATATAAATTCATTGTGCAGAGACCTTTCTCCTGGATGTTGCAATAATGTCATGAAACAGCTCTCAGAGACCACCACTTGTCTCTCAGGAGTCATCATCCCAGGCTGCATTTGCTTTCACATAGCATGAACATGATGGGCTGAGTAAAAATTTTGGAAAATGACATTTCAGCAGCTGGGATTTGCTGGTCACTGTTCTGAATGTTGACCATAACAGGAACCCCTGATTGGTCAATGTACAATGGTACAGGACCCAATAGCACTGTCAGCAACTTTGACAGACATTTTACACAGAAGTGGTTTGGGGCAGTCTATCAAAAATTATAAATAAGAACTGATGTTCAAACATAACAATCACCTGCCACAGCTCCCAAAAACCAAATATCAGGAATAAACAACACATCTCCTTTAGGGTGATTCCAGCTGAAAACATGGGCTCACGCCCTGTGACTGAGGTGAGAATAAGAGAGATTTGTCACATGGACACTTGTGGTCATCATCTTTAACATTCATTTCTATGGATTACAAATGTGTAAAGTTCCCTTGTGTACATTCTCTGCACAAATAAGTTGCAGTGATCTTAAACAGCACTTTACAAGTTCTAGAATGACAAGGGCATCAGATATATGGGAACACTACCTCCTGCAAGTTTCCCTCAAAGCCACTCACCATCCTAACTTGGGAAATATCACCATTCCTCCAGTGTTGCTGAGTAAAAATCTTGGAATTCCCTCCCTAAGAGCATTGTGTGTCAACCCAAAGCACATGGACTGCAACGGTTCAAGAAGACACCTCATCACCACCTTCTCAAGGGCAGCTGGGGATGAGGCAATAAATGCTGGACCAGCCAGTGAGACCCACATCCTGTGAGTGAATAAAAATATTGAGGGAGAGAGGGTTCTAAAGATGGACATGGCTGGGAAAAGGGGAAAACACTGACTCACAAGTGGAAGGTGAACTGCCAAATTTGTAGACACATTTTTTGAAATTCAAAACTCTGATAGCCATCTGACAAATTGCAATGCATCATAGGTCTGTATAATTTCATATTCATTAGGACTCTGTAAGTGGGAAAATGCCTTTTGACACCATTGCCAAAGTGCTGATGTCATCCCTCCACCCATCAATATTTAATTCAAGATTATAATCCCATGAGATAGGGAATGTGATTGTAATTACCCTTCTGGTTTTGATCGGTGTTGAAAACAGGCCCATTTCTTCACATAAAGAAGCATGATGAGAAAGATGCAGAGTAAGACAACAAATACCAGGGCAATGCCAATGGTTATCATTAACCACCACTCTTCAGATTGCTCTGTAAGATACCAAAAACTGAAGTTTAATTTCACATCAGTGACATAAATCAAGTAAGCACATGGATTTCAGTCCTTTGGAACAGTTTGTTTCATACCAGAGTAATGGAGACAGAGAGCTCTCTCTTAATATAAGATTCATTTTAGGCACAATGTGAGGATAGGACTGTCCTGAGGGATGTTCTCCAAACCCACAAACTGGAGGAGCAGCACCTCATATTCCGCCTCAGGAGTCTACAACCCAATGGCCTAAACATGGATTTTACCAGTTTCAACATCTCTGCACCCCCAGCCTTATCCTATGACCAACCCTCCCTCTCATCCCCACCTCCTTGACTTGACACAACCTGTCCATCTTCTCTCCCACCCATCTGCCCCTCCAACCCCACTGAACAATCCCCACCACTCCCTACCTGCACTCACCTGTCACCATCCCACCTACCTTCCCCAGCCCGACCTATCCTCTCTCTATTTACTTCAGAGCTCCCTTCCCCCTCCCCACTTCTGAAGAAGGGTCCTGACGTGAAACATCATCTTTCCTGCTCCTCTGATGCTGCCTGGCCTGCTGTGTTCCTCCAGCTCCACACTGTGTTATCTCTGACTCCAGCATCTGCAGTTCTTCCTATCCCAGATGGAGAGAGAATGTTTCCCTTTGTGCGACAATTTAGAATTGGTTTAGGGTAAGGGGCAGTAGATTTAAAACAGAGATGAGGAGAAATTACTTCACTTAAAGTGTCATGAATCTGTGGAATTTACTCCCAGAGTTTGGTGGATGCTGGGACATAGAGTAAATTTAAGGAGGAGACAGGCAAAATTTTAATTAGTAACAGATTAAACAGCTATGGAGAGCAGGCAGAAAAGTGGAGTTGAGACTGTGATGAGATCAGCCATGATCATATTAAATGGTGGAGCATAACTGAGGGGCTTAATGGCCTATTCCTGCTCTGAGTTCTTATATTCAATTCTTCTCGTAATAAGACAACATCCCATTAGTCTTCTTGATTATGGCATGTATCTGGAAGCTAACTTTCTTTGACTCCTGCACAAGAACACAAAGATTTTTCTCAGTGCTGGCAGTCTTTCCCTCTTCATGTAATACTCTGCCTTTTTGTTTTTTTCTGTCAAAGTGAAGAACTTCACATTTTCTCACATCATACTCCATCTGCGAGATTAATACCCATTGTCTCAATTGATCTATATTCACCTGCGACTGCATTATATCTTCTTCACAATATAATTCCTGACGGATCACATCTGTGAATTTAGCCAATGTGCCTTCACTCCCCTCACCTGAATCATTGATATAAATTGGAAAAGCACTGAATCCAATGAGAGTCTACTGATCACTTACTGCCATCAGTTAAAATATTGCTGCAACATTTCACCTTCCTTCACAGCAAGTGACCAGTCCTCCATCAAAGGATTCTGCTGTGACAGATTGAATATAGTCACCCTTGCTCCTATATCACAGGGTGCTGCAGGTTAATGAGGAATGTGAGTTGTGGAAAAATTGCATCCTCTCTCTCTCTCGGAGCCCACCAGATGTTGCGATCTGTGGCTGATTGTTTACCCGAAATGCTCCTGTTAATTCCACAGTGAGCTCTCATATATGAGGCTTATTCGATTCTCAATCAGCTGTAGCTCTCTTCCAGGAGGGGAGAGTGGACACAGGGCAGTGGCTGGGTCTGGATGGAGACGAACAAGAGTTTACTCTGAAAGTGGTACCCGTTTTGAAGAAAGTTACGATGGAGGGAATATCTGGGCAGAGTGGAGAGAGAACATAAGGGAAGCTCTGTGATTGGGTGGAAGATCGGCGAGATCAAATGAGTCACAGCAAACAAGGACTCAGATTGTGGGAGAAAACAGCAGTGAAGACAATCTGAATATCATGAAGTTAGAACGGAGTTTGCAAAATTGTAAAATCCCAGGTCAAACATGGTTTTCCTTGAGCTCATGTTGAGTTTCATTGAAACAGTGTTTGAGGTTGAGATCAGAATGGGAGTGAGAATTGAGATGAGTGTCTGTAAGCATAGCAGTGATGGAGGATGTGACCTCCACAGAGGGCTACTGGGCACCTGTCTGACTCTCTGCATCAGCTCCCATGTCTCACTGACACTTAATTGAAGGTAACAATGTGCTTCACTAATGGAACGTTCTAGCCAACAGGCACCCCCAGCTTTGCGTGCTCACAAACATCTTTCCCCCTTCCCCACACATCTGCTGACTGATGAAAACCCGCAGTGATCCGTGCTGCCCCTCCCTTCTTCACTCCACAACGACCCACTCAGTGCTTCCCCTCCATGTGAGTGCTCTGTATGGAGCAACATTCCTGAGCAGGGTTCACCAACAAGACATCCTTCAGATCAAGGAATGGGAGACAGTGGGTTATCACTGACACATTCTCCCCTTGTGACAAAGGCCATCTGTCAAATGGCTGTCTTGAAGCAGCCGCACTGAGAGTGGGCCTTGCTGAAAAGGTTGAGAACCGGCCAGAGCCCCTGAACCAGCTTGCTCCCTCCCTCAGGAAGCCTCAGTCCAAAACCCTCTATCAGATACGCATGAAGAGACACAGCCTACGCTGCTCCTTCCCAATCAGTGTCCCCTCAACAGACAAATGGGGTCATCACAACCACCCCAGCAAATGAGAAGGGGATCACTGGGCTCTAGAGATTCTCATTTGGTGAAAAATAATTTGGAATATTTCACCAACAATCAACCAATCAGAAATATCTCCCGAAAGAGTAGAAAGAGAGATTGACAATTGCTGATTTGATCTGTTGTAAACACTGTAAAGCTCAAGTGAAAAAAGGTTCTTTTTGAGAATTTAAAAAAAAATTTAAGCCATGAATTAAAAGTTTAAAGTAAATATGATTAAATGATCCGCAATCCCAGCCTCTCCATCCACCACACAATCAGAGATCAGTTAGTATCATGTAAACAGGACTTACCCATTACAGTCAGCTGGGTTCCGTTCCCACTGATATCTCCCCACACTTTACAGTAATAGACCCCAATGTCACTGGGCTGTGCATTTGTGATGGTCAGAATGAAGCTGTTACTGGAGGGGTCTCTGGAAGACTGGAATCGCTCAATGAATCCTGGGCTCCATTGTGTGATGTTCCTCACGTCATGTGTTAAAACCCACTTTGTGTTGATGCCCTGTTGCTCCTGGTACCAGTGAACATCGGTGTGTGTCACTGCAGCATTCCTCGTGGTGCACTGTAACCGGGCAGTGTGACCCTCAGTGACACGTTCCAGGCTCGGAGATTGGAGAAGGACTGGGGCATTTGCAACTTTAAGGCAAGAATATAAACAATGTACAAACTAGACTGCAATCTGAAAATTGTCCTCAATATTTCAGTTGAAAAGTCAGTCAGCATGCATTACCTTGTCAAAAATGCACAGATATAAAACTAAACAATTTAAAAGAAAACTAATCTGTCTTTAAAATGCACATGCAGAATCTTACAAAATGGCTCCCACAAGTCACATGACTTCCTTTACCGATTCACCTGCAATTGGAATCTCTCTGTAATTATCTGAGGAAAAACGACAAGAATAGTTTTGAAAGTCAGTGAACTTTCTGAAAGGTAAACAGAAACTCATTGGCAGTACCATCCCTAAAGGTCTGACTATTTCCTCCTGTATCATCAAAAACCTGAAAGTATGTGAGGTATAAACAGGGAATGCTGGAGAAACTCAGCAGGTCTGGCTGTGCCTGTGGAGAGAGAAACAGAGTTCACGTTCACAACTCACTCAGCTCAATGCCGGGAGCTGTCCTCACAGCTGCCTCCTGGGACGTCCACATAACATGGCTGCTCCCAGCCAGATGCTTATACAGTTCACATTTTAAAAAAATACCTGCACCCAAAGCATCAAACCATGTCAGGTATTGTGTTATCTCCCATCTGGAGCACAGATCCTACATTGTCCTGGAGTTGAGGAAATGAACTTTTTAACTGTCTCAGCCTTTAGAAGCAGAGAACCCTTGTAGTATGGAAGGAGGCCATTCAGCCCATCAAGTGTACACCGACCCTCCAAAGAGCATCCAACCCAGACCTACCCCCTACCCAATTCCTGTGAACTTGCATTTTCCATGGCTAATCCCTATAATGCACATCCCTGGACACTATGGGCAATTTGGCACGACCATTCCACCTAACCTGCACATCTTTGAACAGTGGGAGGAAACTGGAGTACCCGAAGGCAGGCCATGCAGACACCCAGACAACATGCAAACTCCACACAAACAATCGCTTGAGAGTAGAATCAAACTGGGTCCATGCGGCAGTGGGGCAGCAATGCTAAACAACATGCCGCCAACAGGTGCATGGGCTGTTAATCACGTTGGTAAACGCAAAGTACCATGGATTTCTAGAAATCTGAAATAAAACAGAAAGTTCTGGAGAAATTCAACAAGACTGGCAGCATCAGTGGGCAGAGAATCGGAGTTCACGTTTCGAGACCAAATTTTTCTTCATAACGTATCTGAAGAAGGATTGTTAAAAAAACCAAGCAGGGCTACAAGAACAGGTGAAAGGCTGGGAATCTTCCAAGGAAAATATCACCTCCTGACTTCCCCAAGCCCACTTCCCACAATCCGCAAGGATCATGTCAGGAGTATGATGGAAAACATTATGTTTACTCGGATGAATAAAGCTTTAATATCACTCAAGAAGTTTAACAGCATCCAAGACAACACAGCTCACTTCTTCATAATCCCATCCATCACTTTAAGTGTCCACTCACTCCATCACCAACGCTCTGTCACTGCAGTGTGTACTATCTATAAGGTGCACTGCAGAAATTTGCCATGGCTCCTTAGACAGGACCTTCCAAATCCACAACCACTTCCATCGAGAAGGACAAGGGCAGCAAGTACATGGGAAGCCACTACCCTCTGCAAGTTCCCTTCCAAGCCACTCACCATCCCGACTTGGAAATATATTGTTGTTCCTTCTGTGTCGCTGGGTCAATATCCTGGTATTCCTTCCCTAAGGGTATTGTGAGTCTACCTACATCACATGGACTGCAGTGGTTCAATGAGGCAGCTCACTATTGCCTTCTCAAGGGGCAACTAGGGATGGGAAATACATACTGGCCCAGCAAGTGATGCCCATGTCTCATGACTGAATAAAAGCAGACATCAGGTTCAATAATATCTTTGATGGACAGCAATCTGTAATCTTTTGTCTGACCAGTATATAAATCAAAAATTGTGGCCAGCTCCAAACTGCCCTCCGAAACAGGTGAGCAACATTCTCATCTTATCAAAGCTTTAAACCTGTAGATGTTCAGAGAGGCAGCTCACAGCCACGAACTGAACGGTAATGAGAGAGGAGCAATAAATGCTGGTCTAGACCAGTCACACCCACATCCTATAGATGATAGAAAAAGCATCGACTCATTCTCATATTTCCACGATTCAACCCTTCTATTTTTCCTCTGGAATCAACCTTCCCACTGTCCATTTCATGCCCCTACATGAAGCATGTTGGATGAAATTACAAGATTCCACCTGTCTGCTCTACTGTGTGAAGGTAAAACAGTTCCCAGTCAGATCTGTGAGGCTACCAGCATTCCCTCCCATTGCCTTACCAGTTACATTGAGCTGGCTCCCTGCTCCATAGATGTAGCTCCACACACTGCATCGGTACACAGCACTATCATTGAGAGTCACGTTCACAAGGCTCAGAATGTAACTGTTCCTGCTGACATTCCTGGAAACATGAACACGATCGTGGAAACCCTGGGCCTTGGTGAGGGTGCCATTCACAAACTGGCTTATCACCCACTCCGTGTTGCTGCCCGGTCGCTGATAGTGCCAGTGGACATCAGTGTCAATCACACTGGCATTGTACATGGCACACTGGAACTCGACAGTTTCACCCTCTGGTACCTTGCTGACCACTGGATACTGAATGAGGACTGGATCAGCCAATGGATCTGTATGTGAAAAACAGATGGGGGTTAACACAAAGAAATATAATACTCCGCCTTTCAAATCTGAGTAAAATCTCAGAAAGGTTTAATGATCACCTGCTGTTTAATGCACTACTTTCTAAGGTCAGGGACCGGAAACATACAACAGAGTGCACTCTGTCAGCTGAGGTTTATTGGGAGTACTCTGTCTCTGAGGTGGAAGGTGATGGGATTCCCATCCCCTCCTGAGGTTTGAGCAGACATTGGGACCATCCAGAGCAGCACAGAGGCAGTGAGTTTGGAACAGCCAGCACTGGACTGAGGTATTAAAACAAGTCTGTCCTTACAGGAGGATGCGAAAAATTCCCAGGGTATCATTCAAGCATCAAAAGAAGAGTTCAGCCAATTTTCAGGGATGGTACTATTCGTTACAATGCTGTTTGTTGGATCTTTCTGTGTATTTTCTCCACTCATGACTTCAATGTACCTCATTGGCTGTAAATTATGCTTGCACCCTCTGAGGTTGTGAAAGGTGTTACTGAATAAACAATCTAATTCTTCCATCGTTTCATGCTGCTGCAACAAAATGACATTGAAAAATTGGGATAAGACATCTCCAAATCTGGGAATAATTTGCAAAGGAGTTGCGCTGTAGTGATGCAAGGTGTGTGTGTGGAGAGCTGTAACTGTGTGGTGTCCCATCCTCAGGGATAGTCGGACAGAGAAAGAGACTCAGAGAGATTGTTCACAACTGCTCACAGGGAGAGGGGATAAGGACCAGGTTTGTAAAGATGTATAAAAGCAAAGCGCTGGAAAACTGAGATAAAAACAGAAAGTGATGGAAAAACCCAATACATCTGGCAGTATGTATGGAGAAAGAAAAAACAGTGTTAATATTTTGGGTTCTGAACAAGTCAATTTGGGCTTGAAACATTAACTTTGTCTCTGTCTCTACAGATGTTGCCAGACTTGCTGAGTTTCTCCAGTAATTTCTGTTTTTATTATAAATAAATATCATTGACTTGGTATAGAGGTATAACTTCTAAGTTTACAGATGATTCAGAAATGTCATAAAGGATAGAATAGTAGCAGACTATCCAGGACAAAGCAGCCCGCTCAATTGCCATCACATCCACGAACATCCACACTCTCCACCACCAACACTCAACAGTAGCAGTGTGTACCATCTACAAGATACACTGCAGAAATTCACCAAGGCTCCTGATGCAACATCCTCCAAACCCATGAACACATCCATCTGGAAGGATAAGGGCAGCAGATAAATGGGAACACCACCTCTTGCAAGTTCCTCTCCAAGCCAGTCACCATCCTGACTTGGAAATATATTGTTGTTCCTTCACTGTCGCTGGATCAAAACCCTGGAATTCCCTCCCTAAGGGCATTGTGGGTCAACCCACAGCACCTGGACAGCAGCTGTTCAAGAAGGCAGCTCACCACTATCCTCTCAAGGGGCAACTAGGGATGGGCAATAAATGGCCACCTGCCAATGTGAATTATTCTTTTTAAGTATTTCCATTGAGTTTGAGAAGCTGATCAATTCGGTCCTGAGGTGAAATTGTTACAGAAGATGAATTCTACAATGTCATACTCCGAGGGAGAAGTAACAGCTCCATGGAATATGGAGCAGAAATATGCTGACAACATCAAAACCCCAAGTCTCCAGTCCTGGCTCCTCTTTACTGGGAGTGTAAGGTTACTGAGTTCACCATTTTGATGCTGTTTTGCATAAAACAAATTTTCATATACTTACCAGTTACAGTCAGCTGGGATCCATTCCCACTGATATCTCCCCACACTTTACAGTAATAGACCCCAGTGTCACTGGGCTGCACATTTGTGATGGTCAGAATGAAGCTGTTATTGGAGGAGTCTCTGGAAGACTGGAATCGCTCAGTGAATCCTGGGCTCCATTGTGTGATGTTCCTCACATCATGTGTTAAAACCCACTCCGTGTTATTCCCTGGTCGCTCCCGGTACCAGTGAACATCGGTGTGTGTCACTGCGGCATTCCTCATGGTGCACTGTAATCGAGCAGTGTGACCCTCGGTGACACGTTCCAGGATCGGAGACTGGAGAAGAATCGGAGGGTTTGCAACTTTTAAGAGAAAAAGTGTGAATAAGTTAAAACTCGTTTGAAGCCTGTTAAACATCTCAAATACTTAATGAGAAGCATAGCAACTCATGTTACTTTGGGTGAACTCCCAACCTGTTATCGATCAGCCTGATCTGAAAATCTCACGATTACTTTAATTCGATGATTAAGCTCTGATGTTCAGCCACTTCCTCCTCGTGCATAAACGTATTGTATCTCCCTCCCTAATCCCCAGTCACTGCAGAATCTTCCCAGTCTTCTCCCCACACCATCTTCATATTTCCTAATGACTCAGTCCCCATTTATTAATTGGGAGGGAATGGCCCAGAGAGTGAAGAAGGTATTTAGCATGCTTGCCTTCCTTGGTCAGTGCATTGAGTCTCAGAGTTGAGACATCATTTTGTGGCTGTACGGGATATTGGTGAGAGCGCTTTTAGAAAACTGCATTTAATTCTAGTCTCCCTGCTATAGGAATGATGTTGTTAAACTTGAAAGGGTTCAGAAAAAAATTATAAGGATGTTGCTGAGGTTGGAGGGTTTGAGGGATAGGGAGAGACTGAACAGGCTGGGGATATTTTCCCTGGAGCGTCAGAGGCTGAGGGGTGACTTTAAAAAGGCTTATAAAATCATGAAGTACATGAATAGGGTGAATAGCCAAGTTCTTTTTCTCGGGGTAGGAGAGTCCAAAACTAGAGGGCATAGGCTTAAGGTGAAAGGGGAAAGATTTTAAAATGACCTTGAGGGGCAAACTTTTTCATGCAGAGCGTGGTGTGTGTATGGAATGAGCTGCCAGAGGAAGTGGTGGAGCCTGGTACAATTGCAACATTTATGTTGGATGGATATATGAATAGGAAGCGTTTAAGAGGGATATGGGCCAAATGCTGGCAAATGGATTTAGGTCAGATTGGGATGTCTGATCAGCACAGATGAATTGGACCGAAGGATGTATTTCCGTGCTGTATGACTCTAAGTCACCCGAGTCCATTTGTACTCCCTGCTACTGATGCTGCTGACTCTTCATCTAATCTCCATTCCTAACATTCTCAAAATGATCTGTTCAAATCCATCCAGTTCAGCTCCCAGCTCAGAGCATTGAGCTTGGACCCTGCTCATCCATTGCTGGAGTCAGACACTCTCTCACTGACTGAGATACTGTGGGAGAAGATTTCTGAATCAGGTTTTGTGGAAAGTCTTTCCACAATGATGGATTTCATTACATTCCAGAGAAATAAGAAAATGGGAGCTAAACCCAGACTGAACTGCCCCCCTCAGTGTTCTCTCTCTCATTGTCACTCAGCTGCCCTTTTCAAATGGGTTCTTACTGTTTCCAAACCGCACACCAGGGAAATCTGCTTGAAGCTGGGACTGAAGGAGTGCTTGAGAGTTATCTGTTTTGTTGTTGTTGCACTTTTTGTCTCTAAGTCAATGTCTGCCTGATGTCTCATTTAGCATTGACCACTAGCTGTTTTCTGGAATCTGTCAAGTTGTGAAGCTCCTTCTCTAACTCCTGTGTCCAGTTTGGAGCTTCACCAATATCCATACACACCTACCCCACACCCCATGACCTCGGCAATGACTCCTATAAGTTTACATAAGGAAGTGAAGTTTAGGAAGGGCCAAGATGTGGAATAAAGCTGACAGATAGGGGAGGCAAGTTTTATTGGGGATTGGGGTGGCAGACATGAAAGTAGTGTCAAGGTCATAACCAGATCAGCAATTAACTTATCGGATCATGGAGCAGGCTGAGGAGCTGAATGTTCCTATGTCCTAGGGTCCTACATGGCTCAGCAGATTGACATCCCTCAGAATTGGTCCTTGAATGTCTGGTTTCCTGTCTCAGTGGGGACTCAGTGCTGGAGGAGAGATCCTGTGGTCAGTCTCCCTGGGAAATCTTCATCTTTCTTCCTCGATCAGTCAGCTTCCAAATATTTCAGCTTCACTGGCAAATACCCCCAGCCCAGAGTCAACATCAACAATCCCACACATAACCACCCCAAAGTTACAATGCACGTCACTTGTCCTGATATCTCCTTCAGTGACTCAGTGTCAAATGCAGGTCAGTAAATACTCCTGTGAGATGCTTTTGAATATGTTGCTGCCTTCAAGGTGTTAGAAAAGTTCACCACCACAAGCCCAGGCTGAGAGGATTATGCTTCAGGACTTGGCCAGCTCGATTAATGTCGATACAATGGATGCTACTTGCTCAGAGAGAGCTTTGGATCTACTCAATCCTTTTCCCATGTGGAGTTTATCAGAATTGTGCTCATCACAGGTGGATAAAGGACTGGAGTTTTCCTCATTGGACTCTGGGTGTGTGGACGGGCAGGATAATGGAGAGGGAGTGAAAGGGGTTTGAGGTGGGGCTTGCTAGAGGTGTCGGGTGGGGGTGTCAGAGTGATAGGTCATGAGGGGTAATAGATTGGAGGGCGCGGGACACTATGAACATGTAAAGAGTATAAATAGAGCATTTGGACCATCTAGCCTGCTCTGCCATTCAAAATGGTCATAGCTGATCACTTTGTTGAGAATTCCATTTGTCCCAATAGCGTTTGGTCCACCTATGTCTTAAAAAAGTCCCACCCCTATGACCTTTTGATGCATAGCATTCCAAATTTTCAACACCCTCTGAGAGAAACAAAACATCTCCTCATCTCTGTCCTAAGAGGTCAATCACTAAATTTAAACAGAGGCCCCTGGTTCTGGACTCACAAACAAGAGGAAACATCCTTTCCACATCCACCTTGTCAAGGCCATAAAGGATCTGATACGCTTCAATCAAGACGCTCCTCACTCTTCTAAACTCCAGGGGACACAAACTCAGTCTGTCCAACCTTTCCTCATCAAACAACCCACTCATTTCAGATGTTAATCCAGTCAGCCTTCTCTGAGCCACTTCCAATACATTTACATCCTTCCTTCAATAAGGCAATCAAAACTGCACACAGTATTTGGGATGTGTTCTCACTAATGCCCTGGATAACTGCAACACAATACCTTTACTTTTGTGTTCAATTCTTCTCAAAAATAAAGGTTAGCATCCCATTAGCTTTCTTGACTACATGCTACATCTGTATCCTAATACTTTGCAACTCACACTTGAAAATCTAGATCCCTCCACACCTTGGAATTCTGCAGTTGTTCACCTTTTAATTAATGCTCTGCTTCTTTACTCTTCCTGTAAAATACAGCAACTTCACATTTTGCTGCATTATACTCCATCTGATAAGTTGAATAAGTGGACAAAACTCTATCACTATCCATCTACAACTCCTTTTGATATCTTCACAACACAATTTCCAACCTAACTTGAATTGGCTGTGAATTTAGCTAACATGCCCTCTCTCCTCGTATCTTGAGGTAAGTTGAGGCTGCAGAACAGACTGTTGTGGGATTCCACCCATCACCTCCTGCTGATCAGAAAGAAACTCATTTCTGTATTCTCTCTGTTTTCAGCCAGCCAGCCAATCTTCTATCCATGCTGTTATGTTACCTCTGACACATGAGATTTTATCTGCTGCAGTAATCCTTGATGTAACACTTTATAAAATGTTTTCTGGAAATCCAAGTACAGTACGCTCTGAAGTCATTAATCCTGTCACACTCCACAATGCCAACTCTAAAATAACCTACTATCTGATAGTTTCTGACAGCAGCATTTTATAGAATCACTCTCCAAAGCATTCTATGAACTCTGCATCGAGGCTATTATTGTCAATCTGATTTCTCCAGGTTATACGTAGATTTAAATCACTCATGATCCATTCCCTTTATCACAGGCACTCAATATTTCTTCTTGTATACTTTCTTCCACACTGTGGTTCCTGCTGTGGGGCCTGTAGATCACTCCCATGAGTGACATCTTTCCTTTACTATTCCTCATCGGCAAACCAATTCCACATCATGATCTCCTGGAACAATGCGTCTCCAGTTGTTGCACCAATGCTATAGAAAAGACATACAAACTAGGACTAGGAGTCGGCCCTTTGAGCCCACTCCAACATTCAGTACAAACTGGCTGGTCATCTAAAATCTGTCTTTTGTTCCTGTTTTCTTCCCATACCCTTTGATCCCATTAGCTTGAAGAACTTTATCTATCGCCTTCTTGGAAACATTCAATGTTTTGGCTTCAAGCTTGATTAACAGTGTTACCCTTTCACCTTTTACCTAGCTTTTTCTTGAATCTATGGGGTCCTTGGGAGTGCAGGGTGGAACCTGTGGTGATTGGGGGGTATGCCACAATTATGGGAAGCACAGGGGAAAGGTTTTAATTCCACAGTGTGTTTGTGACTTCACCGGGGTTAGTTTCCAGTTGCTTTGGAGGGGGCGGGGGTATGAGATGATGGGGTCTGAGACATAGACTGCTCCTGACAGGGTGCTGAGAAGGAGGGTGAGGTGAAATTTCAGCAATCCCAGTGTGGATGAGGGTTAGGGGTGGATTGGGACCTGGAAAGGTGGGCAGCATTAGTTGCAGGTGGCAGAATGGCTGTCTCCCGATCTCAGGTGCTGGTGATGTAGGGGTGGGTGGAAGAGGGCTATGGAGGGGTGGAGATCTCTTCGACACCTGGGTTGTATGTTTGCAGTTGCCCTTTCATGAGACAGCCACAATGTTCCTGGAAGGTAGGAGTAAAGTCCCTGCCATCACAGATCCACTGAGCCCCAGGCTGGGATCTTGCTGTCAGTTTTCCTGAGGCTTGGGAAAGCTGATGACCACAGTTAAAGGTGTAGATCTGAACAACACTGAGGCTCACAACCTCATTGTAATATTTAAAGGAACAGCCTGTCTTCTGGGACCAGATTGGTCATCCACTGACCATCTGAGCCAAATCAAGCTGAAAGGGATGGGCACAAAGTTTGTTTGGGATGGAATTGGATTTTTAAGACTTTAACTGCTCCCGACACACATCACCCTATTAATTCCCAAAGACAACAATTTTTATTTCTTTGGGCTTTAGCTGCTCTGTCTATTTAGAGTTAACTGTACAAGAACTAATTTCTACAGGGATTTTCCACTGGAAAATCATGGGTAACATCCTGAATGTTCGATATATTTTCCCAAATGGGTGAAACTCTAAGGTTATTGCCTTTACAGCCAGTTTGATACTTTATACTGTAGTGGTTATTTAAATTGTCCATTTTCAACTCACAGATTCCAGACTCCTTGTAGGTTGGCCTTGTTCCCTCTTTGGGTCCCAGCCTCCCCTGCAGTGCTATGTCCTGTGACAACTCCATTCAAATACCCCAACCACAGAGAGAGACTTCATTAGCAAAGAGTTTCCTGGCAATCCTGTCTCTTAACAGTGCAGTAGCTGAGGAATATGATTCCACATTCCCTAATTACAACTGACAAGATCGTCCATTGTAGGGTATAGTCACAAGAGATATTTGGTTTCATCGATGTGTTCACATTTGGTAATAAGTATTTATTTTTTATATACATCCCAGTCAATGTCCCCATGTAATCAGGCAGCTTTACTTATTCTGATCATTGTTCCTTTTCTTCAATACTAACTGAACTCTGTGTAAGATGTTGTATCACATTCACATGCTCATTTGTTCAATTCAATACAAATTGACTCTGTTTTGAGGCGATAACTTCCACTCTGTTGTTACCGAATAAGTGACGATGTTGTCACATTCATTTCTTTGTGAGATGGTAATTTAATCATAATATTTGGAACAAAATTAATATAATATTAGAGAGTACTTACTGGTTACATTCAGGCGGGTTCCGTTTCCGTAGACCTTCCCCCAAATCTCACAGATGTAGGTATTAGTGTCAGTGAGCTTCAGGTCTCTGATGGTCAGAATGTAACTGTTACTGGGTACATTTCTGGAAAGCTGAAACCGCTCAGAGAATCCTCTCGATCGGTAAACATGGTTGTTTACATAATGAGTCAATATTATAGGCCCAACTCGTGAATGGTGCCAGTGCAGATCATACTTGTCCACAGTGTAATCAGCATTGCTGCTTCGCAAATCACAGCGAATTGTCACTGTGCCACCCTCAGTCACTGTCACAGCTTCAGGGGATTGGATAAGAATTGTCTGTGTATCCACCTGACCTGTGAATAAAAAATAACTGAGATCAGGACATAAAAAAAAACCTTCAAATCAAAGCGGTTCTCAAAATGCCTGTACATTTACAGACACATATTCTGTATTGTTATCATTGGTTTTGGAGGCGACTTATTTTAAACATAAAATTAGAACAAGGTACTGTAGCTGCTGGAGATCTGAAGTAAACAAAAACAGGTCTGGCAGTATCTGTGGAGAGAGAAACAGAGTGAACGTTTCCAGCCGAATGACCCTTCTTCAGAGCTAGCCTGAGCAAAATAC